ACAATTCTGTGTTTCTGAGCACGTTTCCTGACACAAAGGCCTTCAGTGACAAAAGATAATCTGCTAAATCTTCACATTGAACAGAACCTGATGGATACGAATGATGTAAAATATTTCCCATGATTCATTTCTCTCCTTCCAGACTTGTTTGTCAGTTCTGTGGATTCATTTTAAAAGCAGCTACAGATGACACATTCCTGTGCGTGTCTCACCTGGATCATGAAGTCATTCTCCTCGTCCACCTCGCACACACACCTCACCACCTCACACTCCTCCGTCTCCGTGCCAACAGGCCAGGAGGGCGTGTCCTCTCCGCTCTCTGCTGTCAGCGTTGACCAATCGCTGCCGTCGTCGGCTAAAAGTACAGAAACTCAGTTTTTGAATTTTTACATCGTATCAGCGTTTGTGATATTAGCGTGTGTGTGTTTTCCCACCTTGCATGTGTGTGTTGTGATGTTCAGTTGAGAGCTTCAGAGTGATCGGAGGTCTGTCTGAGCTCTCATCGTCGCTGCTGCAGAAACCTGATGAGAAGAAGAGCGAAGCAACAAAATGATTGGACGCTCAGTGCTCGCGTGAACGCTGTCACACTTGTTCTGGTGCTCAGTAACTCACAGTAATGACAACAACTAATGAGAAGCGGCTGAAAAAGAGGAGTTTTAAATCACAAACAGGTCGTGAAGGTGCTTTAGCTTCGTCTGCAGCGTTTCCAACACAACATAAATGTTTTTACTTTCCCGTTACACTCGTGTTTGTGAGCAGCCAAAACGCCCTCAGCAGCAAATCTGAGCCAAACACGCTGCAGTTCATTTTCTGCGGTGTTACTAACGCGCAGGTTCACACTTCTGTCAGATCGGACTCTATATTTAAATCTGAGGATGCAAGAAGTGCAATAACAGATAAAATGTGAGTTGAAGATAAATAATAAATACAATGTTATTTATATAGCACCTTTCTAGACAGAATCACAAAATGCTGCACATAAGATAACAAATAGTAAAAAGGTAAAACAGACAATATAAAACAGGCAGAAATTTAACCAAAAACTGTTTTAAAAGGTGAGTTTTGAGTTGTTTTTTTAAAAACAACGACCGAGTCCACAGTCTTAATGTCTGAGGGAGAGAGTCCACAGTCTCGGGGCCACAGTGGCTAAAAGCTCCGTCACCCTTAGTTCTCGTCTAAGGCTACGTTCACACTGCAGGCGAAAGCGCATCAAATCCAATTTTCTGACCCTCTGCGACCCATATCCGATCATGACAGTGTGAACGGTGCAAATCCGATATTTTCAAATCTGATCTGGGTCACTTTCGTATGTGGTGCTGAATCCAATACATATCTGATGTTTTAGAAAGCTGCTGTTTGATGGTCATGTCGCATTAAATCCGTCTTTTACGTCACTGACACAAGACAGACGCCAATTATCAGCGCCGGAGAAGACATCG